AGTCTTAGTCGAACAGCACAGGAGATCACTTCGCCCACTGCCTCATCGTCTTTGATAATGTCCACCGCAGTTGTGGACGAAACGTCAGGATGAAATTCCCATAGACCACGGCTTCAAAGCCCGGAAAATATTCCTAAATGTAATATCAAGGAGACCAAAACAACTAGACACACGTAAACTGACAAACGTAAACATTAAGCTAGCAGTAGGGACTGAAATAAATGACGAAAATTATTCGATAATAAATATGAAAATATTATTAATTATCGAATAAAACATACAATGTCGAACGAAATTGGAAGAGGTCAAGAATATTATTACAGATACGGCTTACAACACAGTCGAGACGAAAAAATACCAAATGAACAACGGACAAAATCCTGGATCGCATGGACGAAAAAACAACAAATTATAAAAACAGGGACAAGGAATGATACCGACAACTCCAGAAAGCAGTCAAAAGAAAGGCTTGGTTGAAAGAAAAATGTGTATAAATTGAACAGCCTGATCTTCTTGATCAGGGAAGCGGCTGTCATGTATACGATCAAGAAACGCAGATATCGTCACTGATAGCGAAGGAGTTGCATTACTGACTAGCATAAAAAAACTGAAGCGCTTGAAAAAATATATGCAAGATTTACTCGACGATGAAAACCGAGGCAATCGAGATGAGACGCGAGTCGAAAGTGGAACATATATTACTAATGAAGAGTTTTTCGTTGCCGATAATTTATAACTTTGAAAGGGATTTTTCTAAGGATACATTCCGGCAAAGTTCCGAAGGTCGACTAAATATACCACAAAAAACCACTTCCTGAGTGTTTTGTGAAAAGGTTCAAGCCACTGCCAACGACCCAATTCCAAAGACGGTTTGCTAACTCCGAATATTTTTAGGCATGTTTAATATTTAATATCGTGAAATAATGAATTTTCAGTTAAAATAAAGAAAAACAAACAAGCGATTTTACCAAACTGAGTGACTCATTCAATCGCAAATGTAATTAAACAGTAGTTATTGAAAATATTGACAACAATAATATAAAGTTCGTAAAGTAAAATTGGAGAAACGACTAAGAGCTTATAATAAATGTACACATTAGTAATCGGAATAATCCAGTAAAAGTTCGATTTAAAAAATATCACAAACTTATGGTTCCTGTTTAAGGTCTAAGTTGGGTGTTTCCTGTAGCAGTTCGTGGATGCGTTCCGGTACTTTCCCTTCATCGATGTCCCGGGCTATTTGAATATACTAAAATAAGACAGAGATCAATTACAAATACATTACTGCACAGAGACTCGAATAGATTTCGGCTGTCACAAGCAAGCACTACCAAGGCACATTGATGATGTCAATTTTGAAAATAGAATTTAGGTAGTCAGAATTACAATTTATTCAGTAAGACAGCAACTTTTTTGAAAAAGTTTGATTTTAATGACTTTAACATACCAAGTGGAAATAAAAAAAATTGCAAACTACTTGTCGCCAATGTGACATGAACATTTATTCAGTTAGAAAGTTTTTATTGCTTTTATTCGATTCTCCGTTAGAAAGAATACATCTATGACCTGTATCAATTTTATTGAACACTTTTAAGCTACTTAATTAAGATGTCGAACCAGAGAAAACATTTTGGCGTTACATAAGTTGAAAAGCGTCCAATCGATATTGGGCGAACGCTCGGCATCGACAAATGTAACGTCCCATAAACAATCAGAACTTTTGAAACGCTTGGCCATACTGGAGCTCGTCCGAGAACGTGTCAGACGAAACCCGAGGGCTCTATGCGAAAAGTCGCGCGTCAGATTGGTATAAATTGAGAATCAATCCGTCAAATAGCCAGTGAGGATCTCCATCTCAAGCCCTACAAGCTCCAAAAAGTTCCGCCCCTCACCGACCATAACAAACGCGTACGACTTGAAAAATCACAGAGAGACAAACGCAAACGACTCCTTCGTCGCCACGCTCCCCTTAAATGGGACAACATCCTCCTCACGGATGCGAACCCACAATCACCAGAACGATAGGAGCTGGTCCGCGGAAGCCTTCTTCACATCGGCCATTGTCGAACATTGTTATGGTTCGAACGGAATTTTGCCCCAGGGGTAAGACCCCTCGTTTTCGTAGAACAAAGGGCCAAAATCAACAAGACGTCTACCACAGCGACATCCTCAAAGTCGTCGTACTTCCGTGGGCCCAACAGCACTTTAGCGATGCGGATTGGATGTTCCAACAGGACTCCGCTCCAGCCGACAAGGCGAAAGTGACTTAGGACTGGTGCCGGACCCATTTTCCGTATTTTATCTCGGCGAAATGGACGTCCTACTCGCCAGATATCAAGCCAATAGACTTGGATGTGTGGTTTATTTTGGAGACCAGGTTCTGTGCTACACGCCACAAAACTTTGGAGTCGCTAAAGCGGTGGCTGCCTCGGGACTGGGAGCGATTATCACCGGTGCGTCAAGAGGTGCGTGGCACGGCGCAAAATTTGTGACCGAGACGCGCAAGGAGGCCACTACGAAACCGGCTGAGTATGTTGTCGTCAAAATAGTTGTTTATTGTTCCTTGTTGGTCAATTTTGTTTTTATTGAAAATTAAGCATTTTATCACATTTTTGCCAGAGGTCATTGTTTTTATTGTCCATGTACATTTAGACAAAAGTCTTAACTTAGAAATATGCAGGGCGTTCATGATGTAAAGTTAAAGTTACTACTTGGTAGAACATAAGTTGGATTATCGTGTCATTTGATTTTGCTATATAAGAGCTTTTTTACATCACTTCAAACTAAGTAGTTTCGGCGAAAATTTGTTTTGGATGGTCCTCTAATTAAGCCTAAAAACACTCACAAAGTTTCAGGAAGATCACATTTTGCTAAATTTCTAGCGGCGTTGCCAAACTGAGCAAAATGTTTTAGGTTCATGAAAATTGTTTCCTTGCGTAGCAGGTAGATTCATTCAATTTAGGTTATTTAGGTTGCTCATGTACAGGGTTATTTATTGAACTTTGGCCACGCCAGTCTAACATTTAATTTTAAATTTAGAGGAAAATGTTACATCCAAATGTTCTAGATATTAACGTCTAGTTTAATTTAAGATAATACCAGTTGATATAGGGTGTCTCAAATTCAAGTGGCATATCAAACTTACATATTTTTAAATAAAATGCCGTACTTTTTATTGCATTTTCGAGCTATTCGTAAAATTCTAGGCCTATTCCATACAAATGTTCCCTATTGATTTCTAACTGTTTTCCAGTTAATGACCACTATTAATTAAACTTCACGAACTCTCCATTTACGAGTGTAGACAATCCAGCCAGACATTTTTGCATTAAACGACCTCTGGAGAAATCAATTATGAAAGGATTTGGAAACCTTACTAACTGAACTTGAAAATGTTTTTTTCAGACTATTGTTTGGAAGACACAAAGACCCTGTCCAAGAGTTTGACATTATTCGGCGTTTTTCACCTTCAAAAAGCAAAATGAAAATCTCGCTCTCATAAGAGCTCATGTAAAACGAAACATTGAATGTTTATAGTTTAGAAACGAAAACCACTATTTAGGCACGTGCTTTGGTAAATTATCGATCGATTGGTTTGACACTCTAAAAGTTACAGTGTTTCCAAAACTGAGACGTCATAACGTCATCGGTCCTATACTTGAAGTGGATTTTTAACAAAAAATAAATTTTTTTCATGTGTAACGGATTGCTTTGAATCAGTAGACCTATCAAAATTTGACCCAATTTTGACATCACAAAATTGGCGAAAATTTCGCCTCAAAGTTTTGCATGCTTTTAGAAAATCGTCAATTGCTCGCTTATTATCGATCGTAGCGAAAAAGTGAATATCAACTTTTTCATGGAGCTTGAGACAGCCAATCGACTGCACTAATTAGGTTCAGTTCAGCTCGTTTGATTACCGATAAATTTGCAGTTTTTTGGAAACCATATTTGCAGCATGCAGTTTCTTGAAAAACTGGGAAAGCTGAAAAGTTGGAAAAAATACTGTTGGATAGTGATCGATGAGCCCGAGATTTTATAAAGAATAACTTTCAATTTAAAAAAAAATTTCACGAACTATTCCTTGACAGATGGTTAGATATGGAAAAGTTATATGACAAATCAACTTTTGTTGGTTCAAAAAAAAATCCTCTATAAGCTACAGGGGAAGGAACAAAAAGTTTGTACAGGCCCATATGGAAGGAGCCTTTTCAAAATTGAAAAAAATTGTCAAATTACATTAGAAATGGTTGAAATTGACACCAATTAGTACTGAGACAAAACCTCCAGGTCAAATCGATTCGGTAAAGTAGAAGAAAAAAATTCTATTTACCTACATGTAATTGCTAAATTGCGGTTCCGATCAACTCTTACTTCTGTTACTAACTATAGTTAGACCGAAACATAGCTAATAGATGTGGCTAATGATTTTTGAATAGCTAGACCAATAAATCGTAAAAATGTTCGAGAATTTTCGACTTATATTTCTATTTTGAATTTCTAAAACTTTAATGAATTATTCCAATGAGATAGGGATGGCGTAGGTCGATAGAGGGATAGCGAGACTTTAAAATTCAATCAAATCGATTGCAACAGGATAAAAGATTGACCTTGAAGCAAGGTGTCTCAAAGCGCTCCATATCTTAATTCAGTCAGTTCTATGTTTGTCTTTTTTGCGCATAATAATAAGATCTTCGCACATGTGAAATGTCACTCGCCTGGTCTAGACCTGGTGAATTTGCTTCTCACCGATTTTAGGTAAATCAGAAATACTCAAATTCCCCGGAAGTGATCATGTAGGCGCTTGAAAATAAGGCCCCTGGTGATTCAGAAATTAATCAAAGTGAAATATTGCCACTTATTTTACCCATACAGAATTATTTATCCTTGCACTTTGCAAGAAGGGAAATTCCTTTTAAGTGAATCGGAAATATTTCCTTAGGAAAACGGTTTAGTTTAATTTCGTTTAGTATTGGATTAGTTTAGTTGGAATTCAATTTTCCCTCCTACAATACTTTATGGAGCCTTCCGTGAAAAAATAAAAATTTGTACAATGAACCTATCCCGACCCAAATTCAACACATTTTAAAACTTAAGCTTACAATACTTTCACGAAAGTATACTATTCCATTTACATATGACTTTCTTAGCAGTCTGGCAACGCGAAACTCCGACAGACATCAAGTACATTAGCACCATTATTTAGGTCTTTTGAGATGATTAACTTTTAATTTTGCATTTTTTTAGTTTGATTAAAAAATCACCATGCTGACACGCAAACTAACTCGAAATTAACCGAAAGGAAAATAACAAAAAATACGTGGCAGCACCGCATTGTGTTGAATTACCGAAAAAGACAAATAATCCGGCATTTGACTTACGACGCGCTAGATAACCGCAATCAGTATGCCAGCATCGTAGCGAGAATTTGACTTGTGGAGTGATGAATTTATGGGTCATCTAGGGTTTTTTTCGCTGAATCTGCTTAATTTGAAGTGTTTAACCTTTAAGGTAAAATGAAAAAACTAGAAATTCGGAATGGCTCAAAAGACACCATCACCTATAAGTTGGGTTAGATCGTCAGTCGTCGAACATCAAGAATTTGTGGTAAAATTTTTTCTGCCCGTTCAGAGACCCCATAATTTTTTGCTACGATTTGAAGCTAATACTCATTACGTAAGACAGAAATTAATTATGTAATCTTACCCTTTCAAGTTCTTTTCTAAGTGCAAATACGGCCTTTTCTCTGTCTGCTACAAGTTCTTCAAGGTATTGGTATCGTAACTTTTTCCGAGCTCTACATTCTCTTGCACTTTGACGACTACGTTCTGGAAAATTAAATAAAAGACAGTTTTAAGAAACAAAACTTATCACTTTTAAAACCATTTAACTCCTCCTCTTACAAGCTATAAATAAAATAATCCGATTTAGGTATAGAGCGTAAAGAGCGTGTATTTATTGCACATTGTCTATCGAAAATTAAAAAGAAAATCCAAATTACCAAGCTTGGCCTTCATGTCAACTTTATCGGCTGATTTGCGGCCGGGCTTACGACCTCTCTTGCCTGACTCCCTTCGCTGTGGTCCCTCCTAAAATAAACAGACTTTTAAGTAATTCTAAAACAAAGCAAGCAAATAAGTTTTAAGAATTAATCTATTCAGCCGACTTACAAATTACAATAAAAACAACAGTAAAAGGTTCAAGAGAGCCACCTAATGTATTTATAAAGTTAAACAGGGTGAATGATTGCACAGAAGAGTTTATGACGTGATGCTTAATGAACATTCGACTCCCAAACCAATATTTATACCGAAAACTTGAGAAATTTAATAAAAACGTACAACTTGAAGTGCGGATGATAAAAATTCGCAACTCTCAAACCACGTAAATCAGCAAACTGAAATTTTCGTACTCTAAAGAACAAGGTATTATCGAAAAGTGGACCAAATTTCACCTAAATACCGACTTCTGTTAAATTTAAAATATCATAAAACTTGAAGTGTAGTTAAACAAAATTTCGTAATTCCCAAACCATTTAGATCAACAAACTGAAATCTTTGCACCATAAAGAAAAAAGTTTCATCGAAAAGTGAACTATTATTTCACTGGAATGCCGATTTACTGATTTTTCAGACATTTTTGACAGTCAGACATTGGACGGTTTTTTAAATTTCTCGTCAAGTTTAAGTGCAGTTAAGCAAAAATTCGCAACTCCCAAACCATTTACATCAATAAACTGAAATTTTCGCACCATAAAGAAAAATACTTATTATTATTAAATTACATTATTTATTATTATTACTATTATTCTTACTTATTACCATCAAATTTGGCAAATTATTTCTAATTTAATCGAACTTGGATCGCTTCTGGTTTAGAAGATAACTTTATCTTAAATTTTAAAAGCTTTTTATCATTAACTTTGCATGTTTTCTCCGTGTATCAGGGTTCAAATTGCCTAAAAAAAGATTATTTCGATTTTTCCTCTAAAGTGGCTGGTGGGGGAGCTATTGGGAATGTTGGCATTTCCAACAAGCCAAGTCGTCTGCATATGGGGCTCAATTACTGAGTTTTGTTACCCAACAAATGGGTCCACTTCGTATTCAATATAAATCGTTAATCGAAAATCCAAACGAATCGAAAAACGTTAATTGATTGCAAATGAGCCCGTTTGGTGGGGATTTGGGGAATTTATCGAGCTTTCAAGATTCAGCTCCTTTAGAAACTTGCACAAAGTTTTCTTTTCTCCCCCCGCCTAGCTAGAACATTGTTTTTGCGAAACAAACCAACTCAGTTTGGCATCCGCTTTGTCTATAAGAAACTGTCTGTAAAAAGGATATACGATTTGTTTGGGCGAAACATTTAACGTGATTTTATAATTTACTTCTTTAATTTAAGAATTTTTGTCGATTTTCACATAAAATTTTTTTATCAATAATCTTGGCATCGAGGAAATGTCCTCGTAAAAAAAATGTTTCCTCGCTTTGTCCATAAAATTTGCAAATTTTTCGGGGGCAACAAAGCATATTTTAATTTATTGATTAATAGATAAACCGTTGTTTCCAAAAAAAAACAGAATTTGTCTAAATCTCAATACTAATGCATTGAGGAGGAAAATTTCTATAAAAATGTGGTTTTAAGTTTTTGTTCAAAATGAATAATAAGCGAAAAACTGGCAATTTTGTGTTCTTAAGTTAAATTCTCAAAAAAAAAACTTGAAAAATGGTGCATTTCAAACCAGATAATTTGAGGCAAATTTTGTATTTTACTATACTGAAAAACTCGTAGTGCTCGAAGAGCTCGGTTCAATAAATGCATTAGAGTTTAATGGATTTTGAGCTCGAAGAGTTGGAGTCAAAATCCATTAAACTCTAATGTTTAGGTTGTTAATCCGTTAATCTCTAATGTATTTGCTTTTGACACTGCTATTAATACAAAAAAAACCTTCCAAACTCTCATTTCGATATTGCTTTTGGGTCAAACCAGTGTCGTTGCCTAAGGCCCCGGCACAACTTCAAAATTCTTTATATTCTAAGGTACTTGTTGTGCCGAACCCTTCGGGAACGAGACTACGTTTAATACAAAAAAAACTTTTGAAATTCTGATTTTCAGACTGTTTTTTGGGGCAAACTAGTGTCGTGCCCGAAGAGCTCCGCACAGCTTCAAAATTCATTATACTCTAATGTATCTGTCGATCTGTCATAGTCATCTGTCGATTATACCTGCACTATCAGCAGGAGGGAAACATGGCGACGCCGAGTAGTTTCCTTCCTTTAGTGTTTACATTGGGTGATTCAAGTGCAGGTTTCGCGATCGCTAATTTCAGGAAAAGAAATTAAAAATAAAATTAAACTCCGTAACCGCCTTAAGCGAATTTCAAAAATAAACTTGGACTCTCTTCTCAACTGTCAAGTCAACCAACTCACTAACCAAATTAAAAGGCAAATTTTGGAAACAAAGAACAAAAACTGGTAAGATTATCTTGAAAACTCGGAGCCAGGGGTAAGAACTTAGACTTCGAAGAAGAAGTCGAGAACCGTTACCTTTCCCTAACTTCCATGACTTTGACTGAATCGGACGAAACCATCCCCCCAATCACACTAAATGAAATTAACTCAGAAATAAAAATTTTAAATTATAAAACAGGTCCAGACATAGACAAGATAATCCATACATAGACAAATTTGAAACAAGATAATTAAAACGCTCCCCGAAAAAATCCTACTATTACTAATGGGGGGTTTATACACGAGAATAAGAAATAACGCTCAACGATTAAGGCGTATCTTAAAAGTTCGTTACGCATCAGTCCATAGAGGTGTTCCTAAACCGAATAGTGCCTAGGCTTAAGAAAGTTGCCAACTTTTATCTTTTATGTTATGCGTTAGGCGTTATTCTAATGAGGTATGCGCAGTTTGTAAGATAAATTATATTCCAATATCCCACGTGACCGCCAAACATCGTACTTACATTTTGTTGTGAGGTTAGAAAACGAAATTATTAATCCAAAAAGAACTACCACTTCTTCAGTGGACAAATCCATTTAATGTACAATATTTATGTGAAATTGAGCTTTTATTGGTATATGTGTTACCGCCATAATGTTGACATAAACATACACAACCCTATTGTTTCTTAAGCCTATGCTTCTAATTGATTGGCTGTACCCAAAATAGTATTGTTCCTTATTCTGCTTTATAAACACCCTATTAGGCATAATTCCTTATGCTTATTCTCGTGTATAAACCAGACCATGACACTAATAAATAGTGCATTGGCACTCAGGAAATTGTCGAGCAGCTGGAAAACAGCGGCGGTAGTTCTCATTCCAAAACCGCACAAGAACAAAACCTTCCCACAAAACTGGCGCCCAATTAGTCTGCTATCAACCTACTCTAAACGTACAGAGAATTTCTTTAAAGAAAGACTCTTGGACAAAATCTCTTATAACCACGGAATCCCTCACAAACAATTCGGCTTCATGAGAAACCATGACTTCGAATTGAAAGTGGCCAGACTTGTGGAGGACGCCAATATAGAGCTCCAGGAGAAATCCTCTGGGAGTTATTCTCTTGGACATAGAGAAAGCGTTCAACAAGGTCTGGTACGAAGGGCTAATCTGGAAATTGGACAACCCCTACAATCTGCCAAATAGTTTTGTGCAGTTTGTAGCAGGCTTTCTGAAAGACATATAATTCCACGCCCGAATAAACTATCTTCTCTCCACCCTAAGACCTATGGGAGCGGGAGTTCCGTAAAAATTTTCCCTTTCCCCAATTCTCTACAATATTTACACTGCTGACATGCCCAAACATCTCGGCACAGAAATTGTTGTTCTCTGACGGCACCAGTTTATACTACACGACAAAAAACCCAACTACATACACCAAAACTACAAAGAAAACTACTAGACAAACTAACAGACCGGACAGACAAATGGAAAATTAAAATCAACACGGAAAAAACTCAAACACTAATGATCGCAACCAAACTTACAAACGAATTAAAAAACATCACCATTCACAACAAAAACATTGCCTGGAAAACACTTTAAATATTTAGGAATCCAAATCCAACAGTCCAAAACAAAACCCTACGATCCATTTCCAGCGTACTGGTACATATGTTACAGGGACATCCACAAAGACCTTAAAACCGACACCATCCAAGAATTTCTTTTAAAAAAACATTCTAAGTTCAAAACCAAAGTCTTCAATCACCCAAATCCAATAATTGAAGACGCCTTTTCAAACTACTCAATAGAAATCATCCAAGGCCGCAAATCCCTAATGTCCACCCTAGATTCTTTACCCCCTCTCACCCACTCTTTCGCTTTTACACCACACACTTTTTCTATCACTCCCCCCCCCC